CGACTGCTACGACTACCTACTGACCTGCTGGCCGACCTAGACTACGATTGCTACTAAGGCTGATGGTGGTCTGGCGACCAGACCGTCCTTCCGCTCACTGGCGTATGGATGAACAAAGAATAAAGGGGAACGCAGGGAAGGGGCGTGCTCCTGCACTACTTGCTGTCGGACTTGCTGCATGAATTGCTGGACGACTTGCTGCATGAACCATGAGAAGATTTGCTGTACGACGTACGGTATGGAAGGTTGTACGACTTCATGTACGGTTTGATGTATGAAACAGACTGTATGTGTTGCTGGCGAGTGACTAGATGATCTTCTGTGTGGTGCAGGGAATGTGTTTCACAAGATGCTGTATCGAGTGCTCGATGCGAGAGTGCCCCGACTTGGCCTCGAGTTTCAGGAAGAGAGCTCCAGGGCTCCTTCGAGATGTCTCTAACCTTACGAAAGAGCCTCAGGGCATCTGGGCGAGCCGCTGGGAGAAGCATCGCGCTTCCCGGGGAGGCCTCAGAAAACCTCTAGGAGGACAAGGCCCCGCGGCCTCTGGAAAATGCGTCAGGGCCTCTGGGGGAAGCCACGGAATCTCTGGGAATCGGAATGCTGCAGGGCTTCTCTGATGTCTGGGGTTACGTTGCTCCGAAGGACCACATCCCAAACATAAATTCAAGCACCCATAACAGAACGAGTATTGCCCCCCAGCACCCGACACGTGAAAACCCGCCAACAACTTCGGTACTTGCTTGCAGCTCGAAATTCTTTCTGGCAGTCAAAGCTGAAGTAGGTTGAAACATCATAAGTCTGGGGCCGAAAACCGATTCCACTGCACTGGTAGAAGAGCAAAGAGAGGCATAACGGTGAACGTTCCGAGGTCCGCGTGGATGTCTCGGGACGGTACTGGATCCCCGCCCTGGCGCGCGGAGCGCGCCAGGGGCGGCACTAGAGGCGCCGTCAGGTGAGTCCAGCGCCGACCCACGAAAGCAACGCGGACATCCGAAACGTCCTGATTATGCAGTTCTCTGCTATTTGAACTGGCCCTGTCGCCCTGCATGGCGTTAAAAAAATACCGCCTTTGGCGCTCGCCCGAGAAACCCATCCGACAGGGACATCTGCCCGTCGGTGCAGGCTGCGCGGCTACCTGCACAGCGGACGCGACTTCGCCAAAATGTTGAAAGCCAAAAGGACTGAATCCCATACGTAGGCCACCAAACCTCGCGCATCGGGATCTGCGATGCGCGACGCGACGTGATCTTCGCTCCCTGTCGACATCCTCAGGAACAAGGCCAGTACTAAGGCCGAGGCCGCGACGCGCGAAGCGCGATCATCTTCGCGTCTCTGGGGGTGACCTAAAATACCGCTGCAGGGAGTCGAATCCGTAAACCTGATCGGATCGGAAAATGCGTCAGATCGGGCCTGCATCGGCACGGAGCAAGAGCTGGCCCGGATCGGCCCCGCAAGGATGCACAGCAACACAGTGCGAGGATCCGGCGGCATCGGATCGCTGGAAAATCGAATCGACTCGGATCGAGCCTGGCGAACTCAAGATCCACTCGAAATCGGCCGAGTCGCAGACGGCCCTGCAGTGAAGCTGCGTTGCTGTGCCTTGCGCTCGCCCTGTATCGCGAGCTGCACGGCCGTGGGATCCGAGCTCCAGGCCGAGAGCGCAAGAGCGCGGCGTCTGGAACGCACAGCCGCGAGGCGGGGATGCAACCAGAGCCACCACCTGGGGAGCCGACGTCCTGTGGGACCCCAGCGGGCCCGAGGTTTCCGACAGTGCATCCCCCCAGGCGGTGGTTACATGGGTTACGGTGGGGCGATACCCCACCACCACCATAGGTATGAAAGGGAGGAAGAAGAGGAGGAGGAACTCCCCATCCTCTTTTCTCCTCCGTCACGCCTATAGTAGTGGTGGTAGAAAACTTGCCCATCACGGTGAATCCCCGCCTCTGCGCGGCAGCCTCGCGAAACCTGCAACGCACGCCCGGCGGAACCACAGCCCCACCAGCAGCGTGACTGAGAAACCGTCGGTTGGCGGCGCGCGAACGGGGGTATGGGGGAGGGGGGAAGGCTTCTTAGGAGGCTGTTTCTTAGAAGACGAAGGCCTTACATCTACATCTAAGGCCCGCGCGTTCTAAGAAGCAAGGGTGTCTCTAAGAAGCCTCCCCCCTCCCCCTAACCCCCACCGCTCGTGGCTGAATCGGCGGCAAGTCATGGGGGTTTCTCGTGCCGTCCTGTTGGTTCATGCGAGTCGACGCGAACCGATGCTGGTCGACGCTCGTCGACGCCACGTCGGCACGAATTAATCGACGCTAATCGACGTCACGTGCCATGTGGTTGGCTCTTGCGAACCGACGCGAATCCATGCTAACCGACGACACTCGACGCCAAGCCGGCACGAACTGATCGACGCGAATCGACGCCACTCGACGCGAATCACTCGTGCCCAGACGCCGAACGACGCCAACGTACTCTAAAGACGGAGTTTCGACGGCGCACAAGGCCTCCATGCTTCGCTGTCGAAACAGCCCGCGCGCGAGCACGGCAACGGGGCGGGGCGCGACAGCTGAAAAAGTGGCAACGGCAAAATAAGCACGAACTTTCGGCGGCCCGCGCGGTTCTCCTGGATCGGCGCCGGAGGCCACGCCAGGGGGGTGCAGGGCCGAAGTGAGAGATGCGCACAAACCGACCTGCGAAAACTGAAACTCATAACGTGTTTGTCCTTGGGAACTGGCTGGCCAATGAATTCGTAGCGCGGGTCGCGACCTGGCGCGGCCGCCCCCTCTCCGGCGCCGCGCCTCTTCTGAGCCAGCGCAGATGGATCAGCGAGGCGGAGCGCCTCTGTGTCCTTTGAGCAAGGATTGGGCGCGTCTTGCAGGGGCAAACTCAATTTTTCGGATCGGGCCCGAACATTCGATGAAGGTCTGATTCATGTTTGCGCTGGAACTCGGGTTCAAGTCTGTCGCTCCACACCAACTCCGATTTCGGCATGCTTGGAACTCCGATTTCACTCTGAACTCCGATTTCACTCTGGCCCTAAGGCCCATGTCTGATATTGGTATGACTGGGAGCTCTAAAAGTACGTGTGATTATGGTTTGGCTTGGGCCCGCCAAAATCAATGTCGCGGCGTCGGCCCAGAATGCTGCCGGGTCGGTCCCGTGCGCATGCGTCTTCAAGAACAACAGAAGGCATGCGTAAGCCAGGCGGCGGGGCATGGCTGGGGGCCCAGCCGCCAGTTGCCAAATACTGCGAGCTGGGCCCGCCTGCGCACGCCGCCCTGCGGCAACGCTCAGGCTAAGGCCTGCGCGGGGGGCGCGGGGCAGCGCCCCGCGCCTGTGCGGCCCTGCTCAAAACTGTTCAACGGCAGCTGGGGCGGAAAACGGCTCGTCCGAGGCTCGCTCCTCAGGGCTGCCGGCTGCCGCGCTGCGACAGGATGCGCATCGCGGTGGCCGCCCCGATCCCCGCCGCCCGCCCGGGACAGGTCAGGGCGAGCAGAGGAGAAACGCTGCACTTTTCGGAAGGCTCGGGGGCCCGGGAGGCGCCCAGAACGAGGGCGGGGACAAGAGGCAAGGGTAGGAACGATCGCGAGAACGAAAGTGGAGGCGAGGGCAGGAACTGGGGTGGGAACGGGGGCGGGGACGATGGGCGGGAACGAATTCGAAAATGAGGGCGGGCGAAAACGGGGGCGGGAACGGAGGCGGGGACAAAGGCGGGAACGAAGGCGAGAACGAGGGATATGAAGAGAGCGGGAACGAGGGCGGGAACGAGGGCGAAAACGAGGGTGGGAACGACGGCGGGAACGAGGGCGGGAGCCAGTGCGGGAACAAGGGCGAGAACATGGGCGGGAGAGACGGCGGGAACGACGGCGGGAGCGACGGCGGGAGCGAAGGCGAAAACGAGGGAGAGGAGGGCGGGAACGAGGGCGAGAACGAGGGCGGGAGCGAGGGCGGGAACGAAGGCGGGAATGGGGGCGAGAACGAGGGCAAAAACGAAGGCGAGAACGAAGGCGAGAACGAGGGCGGGAACGACGGCGGTAGCGAAGGCGGGATCGGCGATGAACAAACCTCCCAGTAGTAAACCTCCCCTTCGTGAAAACGGCCTGGGACCGAAACCGACGGACCTGGACCCACAAAAATGATGGCCACGACGCACTCTCGCGAACCGAAAACGGCCAAGTCCTTAATCGACGTGGCAGGGTAGGAGGTCGATCAATCTCCGACGGGAATGAGGGCAGGGGGCCGCCTCTGGGCGGGGAACCTCGGGGGAACCTCTGGGGAACCTCGGGGGAACCTCTGGGAGGTCTGTTTGAAGCCGTTTGAGGAATGTTTGAACCTGTTTAAAATATGTTTGGGGTCTGTTTGAAGTTTGCTTTGGGCCAAACTCTGATTAAGGTCTGTTTGAGGTATGTTTTAAGTCCGTTCGAGGTATGTCTGAGGTCTGGCCGGAAATCTCTTTCAAGTCTGATGTCCCCGGGCGGCCCTTGGGTTCCACGGGTGGCGTCCGGGCGGACCTGGAACGAGGGCGAGAACGAAGACGAGAATGAGAGCGGGAACGAGGGCGGTAACGAAGGCGAGAACGAGGGCGGGAACGAAGGCGGGAACGAAGGCGGGAACGAGGGCAAAAACGAGGGCGAGAACGAGGGCGGAAACGAAGGCAAAAACGAGGGCGAGAACGAGGGCGGGAACGAGGGCGGGAATGACAGCGAAACCAGGTGCGGGAGCGACGGCGGGAACAAGGGCGGGAACGACGGCGGGAGCGAAGGCGAAAACGAGGACGGGAACGAGGGTTGAAACGAGGGAGGGAACAAGGGCGGGAACGACGGTGAGAGCAAGGCGAAGGCGAAGGCGAGGGCGAGAAGGAGGGCTGAAGTGAAAATGGCTTCGGGCGGGGAGGAAAGCGGGCGCGGGGGCGAAGGCGGAGACGAGGTCGGGCGCGGGACCTGGAGCGAGGGGGGAAGCGAGGGCGAGAACGAGGGCGGGTCACTGAGGCCGAGGACTGAAGACTGACACTCGAAATGGAGGAGGGGGATGAGGAGGGCGAGGAGGGCGAGGAGGAGGAACAGAAGGACGAAGAGAGGAATGGCGGCCGAGGGCAGCGGAGGGACAGCACTTGGAGGGCGACGGCGACCGAAGGAGGAAACGGGACTAGGGGGGTCAAGGGGGGAGCAGGAGGAGGAGGGAAGGTGGAGGATACGGGAGGGGTTCAGGGGAGGAGGGAGGAGACAAACTGAGGAGGAACGGGGGAGGAGGGAAAGGGAGGGAGAGGGAAGCGGAGGAAGGAGGGAGGGGACAGACGAGGTAGGAAAGAGAGCGAGGGGAGGAATGAGGATGGGCAAGGAGAGAGGAAACGGTATACGATGGGGGGAAGGAGGGCCTCGCCGCATGATGGGGGGAATCCCCCCATCCTGCGGCGAGGCCCTCCTTCGTTCGCAGGAAGACAAGCGCAGTCGCGCAGCGCGCGCCGCGCCCTCCGCCCGGGACTGCCAGAACTCTTATGGTACTCTGGTTCAGCTCTGTTTTGGCGCTGGCCTGAAGCTCTGATTCATATCTGTTTTGGCTGAAACTCTGATGTGGTCAGGCCAGAAGCTCTGATTCATCTCTTTGGTCTAGCTGAAACTCTGATTTAGCTTTGGTCTGGAACTGTGATTTAACTCTGAATTAGCTCTGGTTGCGAACAGAGCAGAATCAGAGTCAACCCAGAGTTAAGACCAAACTTAAGTCAGAAACACAAAACAAATCAGGGATGAAACAGAGTTCCGGGCCAGAGTTGAAACCTGAGTTGACTCAGAATATTATTAAGGAGTTGGTTGAGTTTCGCTTTCGAGGCTAAGTTTTGTTTTTCAGGCTAGTTTGCCTCCAAAGACACACTTAATGCAAGGACCGACCGTCCTGGCATTCCTGTAGGTCTACCACGACATGCTCTTAGAACCTAAACATGTTCCAACAACAACAGTAATGACCTTAGAGCATAACTCCGACGTGTAAAATAAGAACATCTCGCGCAGGCCACAGCACGAGTGCGCAAGCCAGGACGCTTCGCCACTGCACGAGTCCGACCTACAGCCTTGACCTCTTCCGCTCGGCAGCGGGGCTGCCGCCTGCCTCCAGCAAAGGCCGCTTCCCCACGACGGCCACGTCCCGCGCCCGCTGGAGCCAGGCCTTGTGCTCGGCAAATCTCGGGTCCTCCGCCAGGAGGTCCAGGCAGCCCGTCCAGGGCAGGGCCCTGCCGCCGCCACCGCCCTCCACCGGGAACCAGTGGCGAACCGAGGCGCCCCCCTGCTGCGTGCCCTGCACCGAGACCCTGCAGGACGACACCGCTGGGGCGCCCCCCTGCCGCACCTGCACCGTCTCGGCGTGGACCTCTTGGAGAAAACGCTGCTCCCCAGACCTTTCCCGGGTTGTGGTCTGACTTCTGACGGGAATGTCGAGGCGCATCGGCGGCGAGCGAAGGGGGGAAATGAGAATGAGAAGGAGAAGACCTTCTCAGAAGGCAGCCGGGCTTCTCAGAAGCCCTCTGGCCTGAGAAGTCCTCTGTGTCTTCAGGGGAGGCTTAGGAAACTTCTCAAAGTCCGGGGGACTTCCGAGCCTTCTGAGACGGCCCGCCCCTTCTCACTTCCCCTCGGGGCTCGCCGCCAAGTCTGACGTCTGACCCGCATGTCGAGGCGCATCCAGGCGGTGGCGACAAGGGCGTCACAGGAGGCCCGCAGAGGTGAGAGCGAGGGAAGGGCAGCGGCATCGGTGCGGCAGCTTCATGTCGCGACGACTCCTGCGTTGGGTTCTGACAGCGCGTGGATCGTTCAACCTGGAACGATCGGCGGCTTCTCGATCGCCAGATGCTTACATTCATGGCCGATCCTGGGCCGCTGGCGGCGTTCGACCTTGAACGCCCGCACCGGGGTCGTCGCCGCGTCGACACGACACAGGCCTGCCGCACCTTTTTGCCTCCTCCTCTGAGAGCCTCTGTCTTGGAGCCCGGCACGTCAGAGACGCTGCCCCTCTCGCAGCTGACCTCCAGCAGAGGGTCGCCGGACGGGCGATCGAGCTGGAGCCTCGCGCTCGCGCGCCGGAACACGAGGCCCCAGGGCACCCCGAGAGCGCGAGGCCCGCCTCCGCCCCCCGACGCCTCCGCAGCCGCCGCGGCCACGAGCGCCGCCACAACGTCCAGGATGGCTCAGGGGCAACGTGTCGAGCAGGGGGTCGATTGTAAAAATCATATACCCCAGGATTCAAAGTTGCGTCGAATCTACCGGAGAGGCGTGTAATGTGGGCAGATCTACGAGCATGCTTCGTAGATCCGACTGATTAAAACCAAGTTCGGGGTGAATCGATTCTGCTGTCCATCCCCTACTCGAACTTCATGGGTGCGAGGCTCGAGGTTTTGAGGCTTTCGGGTGTGCTGTTCGGACCTCCGCGGCTTTTTCTGGCCTCGGGGTGCTCTCCAGCAGCCGCGCCTCGCCGAGATCGCTCCAGGGGTGCCCAAATCGCCCCGAGTGGCCGCCGCAGAGCCGAGACGTGACCCGAAAACCACCGGGGACAGTAATGCAGTGGAAAACCTACCACAAGAAACCTTCCACCAGAAACCGAACCCTTAGACCCCAGGACGTCCGTGGATGTTTGGTGTGGGAACGACACGCCTTCGAACCCCACGGAAGAGGCGGGGGGCGATGCGTCGATCCCAGATCGCGCACTGATCGCCGCCAGGGGCCTGATGGCCCTTCCCCGCCGAGACGCGTGCGGATTGGCCGTCGGGGGCCTATACCGCCAGCCCGTCGGCGAGGCATTTCGCCGATTATCATGGTCGATGCTTCCCCCGCCGTGCTGGTCCCCCCCCAATGTGACGCGCAGAGACATACTGATACTATATGTTCTCCTTGGAGGCGCGCGTCCGACCCAAACATCTAGTATACCCATCTTGTAGCATATCGTTTCCCGAGCCGTGTGGCCAGAAAGCGCTCGCCACGACGCACGTACTATAAGAATTCTCGGTGCGCGCGTCGCCTCTGGGGGGGCGACGCACACGTAGTAGTAGTAGTAGTAGTAGTAGTAGTAGTAGTAGTAGTAGTAGTAGTAGTAGTAATAGTAATAGTAGTAGTAGTAGTAGTAGTAGTAGTAGTAGTAGTAAGTAGAGTAGTAGTAGTAGTAGTAGTAGTAGTAGTAGTAGTAGTAAGTAGTAGTAAGTAGTAGTAGTAGTAGTAGTAGTAGTAGTAGTAGTAGTAGTAGTAGTAGTAGTAGTAGTGGTAGTGGTAGTGGTAGTGGTAGTGGTAGTGGTAGTAGTAGTAGTAGTAGTAGTAGTAGTAGTAGTAGTAGGATTATGTTGGGGTGACGCCGACCCAACGTTGCCCCTGAATGGCCAGGAGCTCCGCTGCGTCAACGCCGGCGTCGACGTCTGACCTCAGGCTGACGTCCACGCGCCGGAGGGCGTCGGCGAGCACCACCTCTACGGGCCCCAAAAGAAAACCTTTTGGAGGCCGAGGCAGGCCGTGGACCTTCAAGAGGCCAGGAAGACACAAACTAATAGGCACAATTCCCCGTATTTGTTGCGCAAGTCTTTTACTAATTCGAGTTTCCAACTCCATTTCATAATATTTTCCTGAGAATCGACGTGCCTTTGTGTCTGTACCTTTTGTCCCCTCCCGACGAACGATTGGGGAGAGTGAGAAGAGGGATCAGGAGGCAACACCTTCGATGGAACGTCAGAGAGGGCTATCAAGCCCAAATTAACGGCCACTGAGCCAAATTGCAGCAAATTGGGCTTGGGACTCAGCTGGATCAAATGATATCGAGCCAAAGTCAACATGACTAGGTGACTAGGACGGGGTAGATCGGTTTTCGACCGAGGATAACCCGGAGAAGCAATTAAGGAACCCCCCGGCGTTATCATTAGCACCGCGCCGTAATTAAATAATTATTTGGGGGGGGTTTTCGCCGAGCGATATTATTAGCACCGCGCAAATGGAAGGAAAATAAATAATTCCAGCGCCCCGCCTCGGGTGGCATCCCAATTAGAATTGTAATGAGAATAAGAATACGAATACGAATAAGGAAAAGCTGAGAAAAGCTAAGGAAAAGCTTAGAAAAGCTGAGAAAAGCTAAGGAAAACTAAGGAAAGGACTCCGTGGGACCCGTGCGATCTGGTGTACCCCCTCCTGGTGCCAGGATAACGCTTCCGGGTGCCGGGTGCGTTATCCTTTCACCGGAGAGGGGGGGGGGGGGCCCTTAATCGCTTACTCGGGTTATACGGGCGCCGATGACGAGCTTAAACCCCCAGGGGCTGCAACGTTACAACAGTCGGGTCGGACAAAAAACGGGGAGACATAGAGAGGGGGTGGAACCACCTCGCACAGCTGAGATTCCCAGCGCCTCCCAGCGCCGGTGCATCGAGGCAAGGGACCGGCGGTGGGGCCGAAACCAGCTGCACCTCTAATCCCTAATTCCTCCCTTTCGCCCGACCTAAATCAAGGGAGGAGGAGGAGGAGGAGGAGGAGGAGGAGAAGAAGAAAGAGGAGGAGGGGAGCGAAGCCGGAGGCCTCGGTGGTTCCAGCACCCGCGCGGCCGATCGCGCGACCGTCCAGCTCCAGCGTGACGCGGGGGGAGCCACGAAGGGCCCCTGCGCCTCTTGCGGGGGGGGGGGTCGGGGGGCACCCCTGCAAGCAGCCACCGGAGGCGCGCTGCCAACCCACGAGCGGCGAGCGTGTCCACATCCACGCCCTCGCGGCTTGGATTCCGGGGCGCGACCCCGCGGCTGCGCGGTGGTATGGATGCATTGCCCGGACCCCGACGTCGTGAGTGTCTCATGACGTGGACCCCTGCGGTCTGGACCCATTCCCCGGGACCAAGCTTACATCCCGAGTCGTTTTCTGTCGGTCCCGAGGCCCCGCAAGGGCCCCTGGAGACCAATAGCGAAACGCATTCCGTCATGCTCTTTCTATGACCCGAGGGTCTCGAACAGAGCCTCCGCGAAAAGACGCCCCGTCTGTCCATGGGTTCGCGGCCCAGCTTCCCCCGCGAGACCGTGGATATGGCTGGTTTGCGTCTCGATGTCGCGGGCGTTGGTTTCTGACGCCGCGTGGCTCGCTCAACCTTGAGCGATCGCGTCTCTCCGACAGAGCCGATGGCTCGAAATCGGCCGATTCTGGGCCACGGGGACCGTTTGAAGCTTGACAACGCCCGCGCCGGGGTCGCCACCGCGTCAACGCAGCGCAAACCTACCCTACGGACATGTTTTTTCCCCTGCGAGCAGATTGCTCGAAACACCTGCGAAGAGCCGGGCGACGTCAGCCGACACCCCTCAGCGACACTGGCCGCGCAGGATCCTGCCGCCACGGATGGGTTTCCAGACACGCTCGCGGGATAGAAGAACACGACGGAAGGTCTTTGGCGATTTTCGACATCCTGGGGGCCCTTGCCAGGCCTCTGGACCGTCAACACAACGACTCGCTATGAAAAGGCCTGGGGCAAGGGTCGGGACTCCTGGGGACGGCACACGGAAAAAATCAAGACACCGCATGTCTGGCCAAGATCGGTGAGGTGATCAGTCGACGTCGCCCGACCGTGCGGATCCTGCCCAATTGCCGGCTCAGGGTTCGCGAAAGGGGGTTTCGGGAGCGGCCAAGAGGGGAAGTCCAAGAGGGGGGGGTGCAAATCATGACCGGCGGCATGTGCGCGGCCCAGCGGGGGGGCCAGGGACGTAATGAAATAAGAAGAGGCGCCATGAAATCTGAGGAAAAATCATGGCCCGCGCCATGAAATCCCCCCCCTAGTCATCACCCCCCTCTTTTCCGCTCCCGAGGGTTGCTACCGGAGCGGCTGCAGCGGTGAGCCTGGTCCTCGGGACCCCGGGCGCGCACGCAGTCAAAGCAAGCGCCTGGCGGCGAGGCCGACACCGGTCGCACGCAGAAAAAATTCGCGAATCCCTTGCCCCTATGCTCGGGGGTCCCCAAACGGGGTGGTGACCACACCGTGCGGTGAGTCGGTGGGGACTCGGGGTCACCGCACGGCTTTGGGACTCGGGTTGTTCTCCGAGGACGTCTCGGGCGACAGGGGCCTCCAGGGTCCCAAGACCGTGCGGTGACGGACCGTGCGGTGAGGTCTTGCGGGATTTCGAGGTCACCGCACGGTCCGTCACCGCACGGTTTCGGGACTCCAAATGTGCCCCCCCTTCCGTCCGATCCGATCGTCTCTAGAATCGGCGGCGAGCCCAGGGGGGAGTGAGAAAGGGCAGGCCTTCTCAGAAGGCTCGGGAATCCTTGGCCTCTTCTGAGAAGATCCTATGCCTGCCCCAAAGACACGGACATTTTCTCAGAAGACGCTGGGGCTTCTGAGAAGCTCCACCACCTTCTGAGGAAGCCTTCTCCTTCTCACTTCTTTCCCTCTCGCTCGCCGCCGGCTGTCCCTCCCTCCTTTCGTCCGGCCCGATCGTTTCTAGAAGGACAAGCAAGAAAAAACGATGACACCCTGGCGGCAGAATACCCCAAACGGCACATCTTATACGAGAGGCCATATACGGGAGTCCACGCGGAAGACCATACGGGAGGCCATACAAGAGGCCAAAACGGAGAGCGTGTGAGAAAACATGCAGGAGACATGTCGAGAGACTATACAGGAGACCATACGGGAAAGCAGACGGGAAGCAGATGGGAATCGTACAGAACATCGCACGGGAGACGATGCGGGAGACCATGCGGAAACCCGCGGGAACACATACTGGAAAACATAGAACGGGAGACCATACGGAGGACGATCCACGAAAGCGGACGGGAAAACACACGGGAGAAGATACAGGAACACACATGCAAGAAACGGTACGGAAAATCACATGGGAGACCATCCGGGAGCCCATGCGGGGAATCATACGCGAGACCCTAGGGGAGACCCTACGGGAGACCGTACGGGAAAGTATACGGGGGACAATAAGGGAGACCATACTGGAAACCTCGAGAAACCAATTCCGGATCTCGATTTGCTCACACCTGGTCCTCGGTCAGCTATACGAGATCCTTGCAAGAAGCCGCTTGGGGAACATTGAATCAATCAACTTGCTTAGGACGGCGCTGGGCCTCTCCGACAACAGTATCGATGTTGCTTTTGTTCAACGGTGATCATGACCAAAACTAACCACGGAAACATCGGCTTCGATGTTGGTCATCGCCCATCCTGGTCTTCGTCAAACGGTGGATCATCCTTGCGAACCAGCGACAACTGGTATGGAAGATCACCAAGACCGGCGTCGACAAAATCCCGTTACTTCTTGGTCACGGTCGTCGTGTTTTGGAAAAGCACAATCAACCGATACAACCACTCCCCGGACATCTCCCGGGTGCATTCTGACCAGAAGTTCGAGGCGAGTCCAGCTGTGGCCACGAGGGACTCCCCAAACGCCCAAAAAGGCGCAAACCAGGCAAGCGTAGCGGTATCGGTACACGTTCCTCCACTGAACGCTCCTTCCCTCGAGATGTTTCCTCCTGGCCCCCGCGGGAGGCTAGACGAGCACAGCGCAGGGACCCGTCCTATGGCTCCCAAGATCTCCCCGTGCTTCACCGCCCACTTCGCGAGCGCCCTCCCCTGCGGCAGCGGCTCCGCCAGCACGGCCCCCACACGGGCCAGCACCCTGCACGAGGAGGGGTGAATGCAGGATGACGGTTCAGAAAAAAGCAGGACGGCAGGATCAAGAGAAGAATGGTCGCAAGGCGAAGCCAGGACGGAGAGAAATCGGACCAGGACAAAGCGAGGATCTCTGAGACCCGGCGGTTCTGCCGTGTCGGGCGCCGCAGCCGCTCCATAGCGCTCTGGGACGCTCTGAGAGTGTTCGCTTTAGTCCTGGGCCCGCTCAAGCTCTGCCGCTGGGAAGAGAATTTGGAGAGGACGATCAGCGAATCCCGATGACTACGACTACGCCCAAGAGCAAGACGCGGGCATCCTGTTTGTTCATCGTCGCCCACTGCGCTGCAGGGTGACGCCCCCCCTGGGCAGGTCTTCACCGTCACCCCACAGTGCGGCCGCGGCCGCAACAAAACCGACCAGGGGTGCGTCTGGGGGAGAGCCCAGGGCACCCTGAGCGCAGCAGCTTCTTCAACGGCCGCGGGAAGTCCCCGCGCAGCGCGCAGAGCGAAGAGACCAAGAATACCCCGACGAAAAGCATCTGGTTTCTTGATGCGCGCCTCCACCGTACACTGGGGCGCAGGACCAGCGACTCCGGATCGCACCAGACTGTGCGACGGATCGGCCTGCGTCGGAGTTAGAATCGGACCGGCCGCGCCAGATTGCACAAACAGAGCCACGCAACTATCGGGCCACATCGGATCTTCCAGCCAGATCTGGCCGTCCGAAATCCATGTCGAGTCAGGTCGATCGGATCGGAATGGACGCTGGGGGTTGGTCTACTTATATCCCGCAAAGCATTCCAGAAACCATCTCCGAGCGCCCCCCACAGAGTTTGCCAAGAGATCCCTTGGAAGACGGGACCCCGTCACCGTCCCAACGGCTGACTCCCGAGAGAGGAATTCCAAAACCAGCCCGAAATCCTTCCAGGAAGCTTTGCCCGGTGAGTGCATCTCCAGCAGAGCTTCAGGATGGGTCTGTGGGGCCTGGATCCGCCGCGCCCCTCCGTTCAGCCCGTTCCAGACCAGAGGCGTCCTGGGCCCGCGAGTGGAAAGCACTTGCACCAGTCCTGGGTCCAGGATGCGCCTGAGCGGGGTCGGCATGTGTGCACGGCAGGTTCGTGTTGTGACTTGGCTTGAAGCTTTGCCCGCTGAGTGCAGCTTCGAGAGATGGACCCCCGAGGCGTGGATCTGCGCAGCCGCCTCCTCCCTCTCCTCCTCCTCCTCCTCCTCCTCCTCCTCCTCCTCCTCCTCCTCCTCCTCCTCCTCCTCCTCCTCCAGCTCCTCCTCCTCCCGCTCCTGCTCCTGTTCCTCCCCCTCCTGCTCCTCCCCCTCATCCCCCTCATGTTCCTCCTCCTCCATTTCTTTCCCCCCGATGGCTTGCCCCCGCCCGCCGACGCCTGCGCCCGCCGAGCAGGAGCTCCACCGCGAGGCGCCCCGCGGCCGCCCCGCCCCACTGCGCTCACGTGGCAGGGGCGGACGAAAGAGGAGGAGGAAGAGGAAGGGGGAGGAAGAGGAGGAGGGGGATGAGGAGGAGTAGGAGGAGGAGGACGAGGAGGAGGAGGAGGAGGAGGAGCAGGAGGAAGGGAGGAGGAGGAGGAGGAGCAGCAGCAGGAGGAAGGGAGGAAGATTTTTTTGACATTCGCTTCGGGGACGATCTAAGGCTCAGGCGCGTTCCTCGGACAGCAACTGACCCCCAGGCAAAAACCTGGGGCGTTGCCAGTTCCGATTCGGCGCCGAAGAACCCTACCCCAGGAGGAGGAGAGGACAAGAAAGAAATGCATGAAACAAAACTAGCCCGGGTTAAGCGCTGCCCACCTACTAATGGGCCGCTCCCAGGCCAGAACGGATCGACGCAGACCTTCCCCAGAACGGGGCGGATAATCCCATCCCACCCACCAGAGTCCCGCCTCCCCAGACAAAAACATTCCCTGAACGCCAACTTGCAGGTTCGGACTTTCGGGCATGGTGAGACCACGGCAAGACCCACCAGGGAAGGCCACTTGCTTTCGCCTGCGACCTGGCTGCCAATTCCTTGAACTGTCTGGAGGGAGGAAGGAGGGAGGGGGGGAGCATGAAGGAGCAAGGGAAGGGGAAGGAGATCAACTGCAATGCGTCGGGGTAACTTACTCCCCACATACTAATGGGAGACCCCTATCAAAGCGATACCTACCCTCCCCCATAAGAGTTGGAGAAAAGACTAGGGGATACTTCGCCAGAGTTTCCTGGGCCCCTGATGAAGTAAGACATAACTGGGCTGAAATGCACTGCCCAAGCTATCACATGACAGCGACAGCTGCAAGTAAGATACCTGCTTCAACAATACTGCCGATCTGGCCAAAAGGAAAGAGACGTGTGAAGGTAAAGAGCGCTGGGTAGCTGACGAAAGTCCTACCCAAACGCAGAGCTGACCAACACAAAGAAGGATTTTACCAAACAGCTCTAGCCATAGAAACTTCGCTCATCTAAGCCACACTCAAGTTGCCTATGTTGCCCTAGATGCAATATAAATTCTGCCGCTGAAATGAAAGACTTGAATGCTACTAACGACATCGAACTCCGTTTACTTTGAAGAAGAGGAGTCCGAGCTGGATCTGCTCCTCCGAGGAACAGGCGCTCTGCCTGAAGCTGTGTTTTGATTCTTTACACGACTGAACTCACCCTGGAGTGTCTCCACCTGCTGCGGGAGGTGCTAGATCTTGATAGCCTGGAGACCACACTTGAGCTCCAGAAGTCTTGAATTGGACGGGGCTGATTCCATGGGAGGGGCTGCGTCGCTCTGCACAACCTTTGCACGCTTACTAGCGTGCTCTGGAGAAGTCGAACGAGGACGGTCGACAGATTTAATACTGTCAGAAGGAGAATCGTAATCGCTACCACTGTCCAGAAATCTGGAAGTGTGTCTGCCTTCTTCGAGATCACAACCTTTACCTTCGGCTCGACGTTGAATGTCCCGCATACTGCCAAATAGGAATGCTTTTCTTGCCCCTTGTACTCGTCCAAAAGTTTGTCCAACTGATCCAGCATATGAGGTTCGTACTTCTGGAAAATATCCGAGCTCAGAAGCTTGAGCTGAAGCCTGACTTTGAAATCCTGGCCCTGCTCGCTGTCGGATTATACCTGACCAGCGGCTTTAACGTTAGGGATAGACGTCACTGCCACAAGAGGTGGCGGTGGTGAATGAGCCTTCTCACTGTCGGCTTCTACCTGAACAGTGGGCTTTTGTTTGGACTGAATCTTCTCACTGCCAGCTGCTACCTCAGCAATGGGCTTTTCTGTGCGCCCAGACTTCGCTGCTACTGGCGGCGGCGGAGGTGGCGGGAGTGACTGGGGGCCCCTCCCATGCCATGGGGGGGCCGCACTTCCATAACGGTTGAGAAGAAATTCTACTCGGCCAGATCCAACAGTCATGTCTGCCGCGCGGGCAAAGCAACTTAGAATGAGAAACAACTGGAGATCCTACTCCTTCTTTGCGAACCCAGGGCGCCCTGGGCGACGTGGCGGCAACTGCGGCGTGTGGGTGTAGGCGAAAAGGGGGGGGCAGGGTTGCTCCTGCCCAGCTGGCCTGATCGGCGGCAACTTGAGCCAAAATGGCTTGAGCCAAAATGGCTACGGGAGGAAGGGGGGGGGGGGGGGGGGGGGGGGAGGAGGAGGGGGGGGAGGAGCGGGAGGGGGGGCAGGGAGGAGGAGGGAGGAGGAGGAGGAGGAGGAGGAGGAGGAGCAGGAGGAATGGAGGAGGTGGAGGAGGAGGACGAGGAGGAGACGGAGGAGGAAGAGGAGGAGAAAAAGGAGGAGGAGGAAGAGGAGACAAGACAAGACAAGACAAGAAACCCTCGGATCCGTAGGGTGCAACATGACTGCAAGCACACCTTACGACTTGCAAACAGCGCGCAAGCGAACAAATGACTTGATCTGGGTGGCCTTCAGTGGCAAACTGCTTGCCCGCCCTGCAGGTGGGGGACACTCGGGCCAAAGCCTCGCCCAAGCGGTGCTGACCGCTCGAGGGGTGGCCTGGCGCTGTCTCCCCGCCCATCAGGGGGGAACTCAAAATCAAATTAAGATGTGAAGCCGACCCCCACGACAAGCTAGGTTCTGGGAGCCTGGGAAGGAAGGGCGAAAGTCAAGGCGGAGGAGGAGGAGGGCCCCGAAGGCCCCACACGCTTGGTTCTAGCACGTCCTGGGGGTTTACCTCTTGGCTGCGCTACAAAAACCCTACCCCTGTCCGGAGAAATTCCTCGGGGCAGAAAGCGGTCCTCGCCCCTGGTCTTCTCAGACGAGAAACTCTTCGGCCCCTCGCTGCTGGCGCCAAAGACTGGCAGCTCAAGATCCCCACGAGCCTGCAGATCCAAGAAGCGGCGGGTGCCCGCGAAAGCTGGCGGGACGGGGGCGCTAGCCCTACGCTTTGGATTCACGGCGCCCCCGCCCGCAGGACGAGGCGCTTCAGCAGCTCTCATTTTTGAAGCCGCTCCAACAATCGGGCCGCATCCCGTCCGAGAGACTCTTTCGGAACACCCCCATGTTTGCGCACTCCCCGGTTCACCTTCAGATGAGCTTCGATCGCCTCCTCCAAACGCCGATACTTCACGTCGACGTCGAGAGTGATACGAAACAGCTCTGGCTTGTTATCGCCCTTTGTTGGGGGGCGGATGCGAAAGGCGCGAACTTCGTTGGCTAACTCGATCCCAGGCTTCTTCATCAAGTAATCCTCGAGCGTCTTCTCTGCCTCTGCTGGACAGTTCGGGTCCGCGCCCATCCCGCGGGTGAATGCACCCCGTGCGCGCAGTATTGGGCGGCCCAGATCCTCCTTCATGCCTGCCTCCGACTCCTTCATCTGCAGAACTTGGTTGTGGTAGGCCACTCCCGCAGCCCTGGCTACACGCGCTGCTGGGTTCGTCACGGGGGCCGGCCACGTCTGGAAAACTAACGCGCACACCTCGCGCAGCTCCGCTGCGTTGCTCTACGCGGGCTTGGTCAAAATGACGATGAATTGCTTGAGAATCACCTGCTTGTCACCGCCGTTGGCTGACTTTGAAGCTTGCTCCACCAGCCCCTCGGCTGCGTCTCCAACGCGCCCTTTCTTCTGCCTCGGCTCCTCGCCCGCGATCATCCAAGCGGGCCCCGCATCCATGGCTCGGAGGAACTTTCTCAAGATGCGTGCAAAAGGTGCTCTTGCAAATGCTCGGACAATCCAGCAACATGCGGACGCAAAGGGCATGCTAGAGATGACGGCACACGAATTTCACACATATTACGTGTCGCATCGGCAGCGCACTCTCCTCGTCTGAGACTCTGCGAAAGATGGCGACGACAGCTCTCACGATGTGCAGATAGTATACCACAGACACAACATTGGTTCGACGCGGACATGACGTGCGCAAGCTCTTGAAACCCGTGATGTGCTATGATATGCGTGTGCACCGCGGCTCTATCTCGTCATATGCGCCCGCAGACCTCCCCCGAGGGACCCAGGAGAGAACACCGATAAGCACCCTCACAAACATCATCCTGAAGCGCCCCTGGAACTTCCTCTGCGTCCAGAAACTGGACAGGTGGAACCTGAACCCCAAGCGCGATCGAAGGTGTCGGGGGTCGATCCTGCAAAACTCCTCGCTGTATTCGGGATCAGAAAAAGCAAAAAACTCGATCTTCCATTCGTTCAAGAAGAGACGCGCCCTCATCCAAATCAGCAAGGGCACGAACATCAGCAAGCAATTGGCGAGCCTACGGCGAGGCCCATCTCGTCAACCTACCCATCAGGCGACAGTACTGGGTGAGCAACTTCGAAATGCCCAAAGAGAGTAGTGAGGACCTGTTGATTGGCCATCGGTGCACGCGACAGAGACTGCCAGCAACGCAAGCGACGGGTAACAAGCTCCGTATCAAACGGAAAAGTCGCCACCAGCGTAACACCGCAGCGGAGGTCATCGACTTCGGATGCCCTGGAGCCTCTCGATCACACGCCCTCCCACCCATCGCCCGTCGAGCATACCCTGCAACCATATTGTTCAGCTTAGATAGATCCTGCGGACTTGGCGTAAAGCCCTCGAGACCAGATAACGCAACATTGTAGATCTTCGCGATAAATATACATCGGCGAAGCCGATGAGGAATACCAGAGACACCCCAAAATCCTCCAAGAGAGTACCAGGCTCGATGCAAAGCCTTTTCCCGAGACTTCAGTTCTGGCCCAAATCCAGACGCCTTCGAACTCATAATAAACCCAAGACTCTCAATTTCCAACGGAGCCGAACCTGGGAACGTAATGAGACCATCCCGAACCTCCCGAAGACCCGCGGCAGTTCCAGGACCTCGGAGAGACAACAGGGTATCCTGCTTAGTAAATTCTGCTTAAATCCACGCGGCTCTAGGCTAGCATCCAGCTCCTGATTGGATCTCACACTCTTGTTGAAGAGGATCATA